GGCGGCATACAAATAAAGTGAACTGAACTGAACTGATATGGGTTGCTGCCAGCGTCTTGGGTATCAATCAAGTATCTTCTTAAAATATATGATGTTCCTAGTAGCTCAGTTTTTTGCAGTTCCGCTGATGTTATTGCAGGAAGCTGCAATTTCTTTGTGTTTTGTAAAATTCATGGACATGGTACCACCAAGTGCCCCAATGACAATGGGTATCACTGTTACATGCTTCATCTATAGCCGTGTAGTTTGGGTAGCCAGGTTGTGATATTTCGTGTTTTTTTTTCTAGGTCTTTTTCTTCGACTCTGGCATCTCCTGATACAGCAATATCAATAAACTGTACACTTCGTCCCTCTATAACCGTGATATCTGGCGTGTTGTGTTCTAAATGATGATCCGTCTGTATTCGAAAGTCCCACAAGATCTTCACCTTCTCATTTTCAGTAAAATTTTCCACTTTGTGTTCCCACGACTTTTTGGATACAGGTAAGTCATATTTTTTACATAATAACCAATGGATTAATTTAGCAACTCAGTCGTGTCTAGCTTTGTAATCAGTTTATGCAATTTTGTTGCATTCACATATTAAATGTGAAACAGTTTCGATTTTACTGTTGCAAAGTCAGCAGTTTGAATTGTCAGTGGATTTTTTATTTTATTTTTATGTTGTTGTTGTTGTTGTTGTCAGGCCTGGAAGCCATCTTTTACATGGGCGTTCAGCCCTGCCACATTTTCTACTGTGGGAAAATGGGAGGGGGGATTATATGGAGATATATAGTCAAAATAACATTCCTTTCTCAGAGTCAAGGACATCTTGCCCTGCACCTGGAGTGGTGTGACTGGGAGGCATCTCCAGTTGGGAGGGTGCCTGATTGGACCATGTGATGGACATGTGGGTGCTGGGCAGGGACTTGAACTTGCTTTTGGGTGGGGAAGCTTTCAGACTGCAACAGCACCAATTAATAAAAATAAATGTAGACCTAGAGGACAACTTTTACATTTGGGCCTTCAGGCCTGCCACATTTTCTACTGTGGGAAAATGGGAGGGGGGATTATATGGAGTATGGGAGATATAGAGTCAAAATGACATTCCTTTTTCAGAGAGTCACGGTCACCTTGCCCTGCAGCTGCGATGAGGTGACTGGGAGGGATGGCGAATTGAACTTTCTTTTCAGTGGGGAAAACCTGGAAACTTTCAGATTCAGGTTTTCCCAGATGTGCTAATAATGACATCTCTAATAAAATGGAACTTTGAGGAAACTTAAGACTCGGAGTTTTCTTTCGTTGGGAGTGTTACTTGGAGCCCTGACAATAAAATTGTTTAAACTACAACTCTTTCTTAAGTAAAGAAAAACAGTACATCTTTATCTGAAGTACTGACAGCTGTTGTTACAGCTATCTATAACATGTCAGGTAGCATTAACTATGCAGGCCATTTGCATTGAGCCATGTAGAGGTGACAAACACAGCAAAACATTGGTGAGGAGGGGGCATTCAACTCCTGTCCCTTGTAATTGCCCCAGAACAATTCTGTCTCAATTGAGCTAATCTCAAAGTCTGTCAAAAGGGAAAATTGTGTCATTGCATTGGTGTTAGGAACCACACAGATACCGTAGATATTTCCATGATGATGGAAAGCTGGCTGGGGAATTCTGGGAATTGAAATCCACCAGGCTTAAAGTTGCTAAGGTTGGAGACCCCTGTTCTAAAGTGCATCCATTACCACGGTTATTGCCATCTACCTTGCTGCTGGTTGTCTTCTTCTCTATCCTTCTACCTTTCCCAGCATCAGAGCCTTCTCTAAAAAGTTCCTTGCGTTATGATGTCTGGATAATTTGAGCCTGGTCACTTGTGTTTCTAGTGAGAAATCTGGGTTGATTTGTTCAATGATTGATACTGTTGATTTCTTTGCTGTGCATGGTATTTTCAGGAATCTTCTCCAACATCAGTGTTCAAAAACGTTGACACTGTTTCTATCCTTCTTCAAAGTCCAATTTTTGCTTCCATAGAGTGTTACAGGGTATACCAGTTTGCATGGTGCTGATCTTTGTACAGTATAGACACACATGCTTTGTCCTTCACAGATATTCTATCAAGTGTTAATACGCAGTACAGTTTTTTTTAAAACGTGGATAAAACAAAGAATAGGTAACCCATACCATTTTACCTGCTCACCTACTTTTTAATTTTTTTTATTTATCTCCAAAGTTAAAATAAAAAAATAGAAAACAAACAAACAAAAAGAATAATAAGAACCAGTGTAGAACAGGGGTGTCTAATTTGATTTCTACAAGGGCTGGATCAGCATTGTAGTTCTCTGCAGGCTGGCTGGGGCGGGGGCGGAGGAAGAGACGGGACAGACACCTCCTGCAGCAGCCTGCCAACTAAAATGGACCGCGAAGGGCTGATGCGCCCCCTTGCACCGTTTTTGGCCTGGATTACCTCCTGCAGCACCCTGCTGACCAAAATAGGGTATGGGGGAAGCTGTGCACAGACCCCCCTCATGCCCCGTTTTGGCTGCCACAGACAACATGGGATGGTCCTTTGTTATTTCCAGGCCGGCTGTGCAACCCAGATTTAAGCACGCCAAGGGAGCCGAATGTGGCCCGTGGGCCTTGAGTTTGACACCACCGGTGTAGAAGAAATAACGAAATATATCATTAACATTCATGTTCAGCATAAAAGTTCACCCACTTTTTATCAGCAAAAAAGGTACGCATTCCCCATGTGTTCACTAACTCTCCCCATCCCCCCCAAAAAAACTTCAGTTAACCTGTGTAGAAATGTCAGATTGCACTGCAGTGAAAAATTTAGAATCCCATGATTTTCTCTTTTGAGTCTGCTACTTAAATAAGAGTGGAAGTATCTGGAATGCGCAGCATATGGAGACCTGGTGTTTACATCAAGCCTTGAAGGCCATTCTCTTCTGCTGTTGGAACAAGGGTCCAACTCAGTGAGAACCATTAAAAAACAGGGAGGGGGGCTCCTTCTCTTGGCAACCTCCATCCTGTCTGGGAGAAGCAGCTGCTGAGAGCATCCATCAACCTCTGCTCTTTACATTTCTCTGTTTCCAAAATAAATCTCTTCCAATGCCTCCATGCTGCACTTCCCCTCTAATTTACAGAACCCTTCGCCCCCAGCTCTGAAACGCAACTCTCTTTCTACCAGCCCACCTTGTCCCTCCAACCAGCTGTTTATTTGCAGAAGCCAAAGACTCGACTCTGATCTGCAAATGAAGAGAAGGAGCCTAGAGCTAAGGCATATCTTGAAAATTGGGTGGGGGGAGAAGGAAGGAGGGGAGAAAGAACCACCAGTTCTTTGAAAGGAATTATTTAATTACACTTCACGGAACAGCTGCCTGCTCTCTTTCCAGCCAAAAAATAAATAAAATGAAATCCTCCTGTCTATTCTTCATCCGCAGACACACTGCTAATACTGAGCCTGCTGTGGAAAGTGGGGAAAGGCAGATGTTCCATATACCATGTCTACCTTTTGCAATTCCCCCCCTCCCGAAGTATTCAATTAAAATTATATTTCGTCCGCAGTTGTCACCATGCCTATTGCTTATAATTCCAATCAAAATTGTACTTATGGTTGTTTTTTTTTGTCTACAGTTCAATTTTTGGGCTTCCCCTAATAATCAGTGAAATGGCTGGCCTCCAAAAGTTGTGGTTGCTCCAACACTGGAGATTTTTAAGAAGAGATTGGACAGCCATTTGTTCCAAATGGTACCGTTTCCCTGAAAATAAGACTGGGTCCTATATTAATTTTTGCTCCAAAAGTTGCATTGGGGCTTATTTTCCAGTTAGGTCTTATTTTCAGGGAAATGCGGTACTAAATGTGTCCTTCTGGCTGACGATCTTATCTGGGGCTTATTTTGGGGGGTAGGGATTATATGACAAGCATCCTAAAAAAATCACGCTAGGCCTTATTTCCTGGCTGGGTCTTATTTTCAGGGAAACAGGGTATTAAGATCTCCTGCTTGGGTAGGAGGTTGGACTAGATGACCTTCAAGAACCCTTCCAACTCTGTTATTCTGTAATTTGTATGCCACCAATTCTCACA